TGTCTTTGCCCTCTCGACAAATTAATTATGGCTTCCTATGTCTTTTTTGTTCATAATAGATTGAATTAGATCAAAAACAAGCCAATAGGATAAGTGATTCAGAAGCCACAAAGATTTTTACGTATAAAAAATATGATTTATTATTGCTTACGTATGAAAGCGGAGAAATTAATCAGAAACAATAACCTATCTGTCAATTTAGGAATATTAACTTTCTTTCCTCACATATCTTAACCAACCATATTTTAACCACTTACTAAAAGGAGAGTACGCACTAGCCAAGAAAAGAAATTTTTTGGGGGGGAGGGGGTCCAGGCTTTGAGATTTTGAAATTTTTTCAGATATCTTTTCTAAACTATAGAAATTTTTTTCTAGTTAATAAATGAGAACTAGAAGGATCACTACAGTAATAGAAAACCATTAACACGAAATAACCTACTAAATATCAGCTTGTGAAAAGCGCTACAGGAGGAAACATCCTAACTACTAAAAAGTAAAAATATTAAAAAGAAATTGAAGTGGATGCTCTGACATATATGGCAGCCTCGTCAGGGGGCATTACCATGCAGTCAGTGTGGAAGCAGTTTCTGCGGTTGGTGGTAAACTACCGCAAACAACTATACTGCTCCAAGAAGAACAAAAGAAACGAACCAACAGTAGGTCAGAGGAAAACGATATACCGTAATCTTGAAATTCGAACTGGAAGTGCATAAATAGGAAACATAACTTTTCAGGTGAATTTAGAAAGTTGCAAGTTCGAGTATCAAATTAGTATGTGACTTGGAGTATTAAACTATGAATGAAAACTTTTAAAAAAAATATACATAAGAATAAAAATAAATTATATAATCATTAAACTTAATGAATAAATATACTCTATAAGTAAATATACTGTATACAGTTTTTTAAAAATAATCGTATCATTATTACAAATAAATTTAATGCGATTAATTTTAGGTATAATAACATTTCTATAGTTAATAATAGATATATTAGAATTCCAAAAAGTATACTTATTGACAAAAAATGGAAAATAATTTCTTCTGTCAAAAATATCAGTATGAATTAAGGTAATGAATAAATCAAGAAATCTGAAGTTACATTAGATTGATTAGTTTTAACTAGAGTTAATTCTTTTGAACAAATTGTGTTAGCAATATTAATAAAATCTTCACAATTAAATATAATGAAGTCACCGGTGACAATACGTTTTAAGTTATTATCAATAAAATCTGAATAAAAGTCAGATTTACAAAATGCTATCAATATTGATTCGTAAGTGTAATTTATTACTAGGTGGAAGCATATATTTCATGCTGCAAAACTTACAAGAAATCACATTAATAATATTAGTTATTTGACATGCTACATTTGCCGAAAGTTTGTCAATAATTTGTTGAGGATTAAAATTAGTACAAGTATTGCATCTGACGTTATTGAAAGTACGAAAAGGGAAAAAATGGCGAAACTTATCCGGATTAACAAGCCTATTTTCGGTGGGATATCGTTCTGGCAAACCGAGACACTCTACCATGCATGTCTCCGACCGAGCAGTGAATGATAAGTCATTCATTTTACCAGGCACTAAATAATCTAATTTACAGTTCATGATATAATAGAGAATGATAAACTCAGAAGTCAGGGTTATGCTGCATGACAAAAGTGTGAATAATATATAAAATACAATTTAAGATACAAATTCAATAATAATGAAAATTAAAGAGAAAAAGTATAAAATATAAAATTCCGAGTTCGACAGCGCCAAGCTGATAATGTCGCGACCGGAATAATCTACAAAGAAAAGTATTTCAAGATGAAATAAAATAAGTTATTACCTCGTAAGGGAACTAAAAGTATCAACACAGCAGGAGAAAACCGAAAAACATTGACACGAAATAACATACTAAATGAGAAACTAAATATCACCTTATGAAAAACACTACATGTGTTAATATTATTTATTTCTCCATATTAATTATAATTTCTAAAACTCAATAGATGGCGCTCTGCGCAGTAATGTAAAATCATTAGTTTCTAATCAGTTTCCTCCATGACACTGTGCCATTATCATCATCATTTTTGTTATTCCAAATTTCAAGCCATAATGTTGTTTCACCGTAAAATTTATTTATGTTTAATTTTGGAAGTTTAACTGCATTACTGTTTGGAACAATTTTAGATTTTTCATGACTATTAAATCTTGATCCCGTAAAAAATTCTAGTGATATTAGAGCATTACGGAATTTATATGATAATTTAGAAGTAAACATTAGATCTTTAGAAAGCTTAAATGTAGTCTCTGGAACATATGGACACTTATTATGCCCTATATTATTAAAACTAATACCAGAAGATTTAACTTTAGAATACAACCGCAAACGAAAATCAAAATCAGAATTTAATGTTTCGGAATTAATTCAATTTATTAAGGAAGAAATTCAAGTACGCGAATCATCTACATTATTCCATGATAATGCTAAGAAAAATAAACACTATAATTATTATAATTCCAGGGAAGTAATAAATAACAAAAAACAGTTCAGATCGAATATTCCCACAGCTTCAGCATTGGCTACTAATGTAAAATTTAATTGTGTATTTTGTAAATCAGAACATGATTCATTTATTTGTGAAAAAATGTCGGTTTCTGAAAAAAGAGATAGATTAATGCGCGAAGGTCGTTGCTTTAAATGTTTCCGTAAATCACATTTAAGTTCACAATGTAGGAGTAAAATTAGTCCTTGTAAAAAATGTAATAGTAAATCTCATCACGAAATAATTTGTTTTGGAATTCCGAAAACTCAAAACGAAAGTTCGCAAGAAACCGCAGAGAAAAATACAGTTGTAGCCAGCGTTTCTCATGTCGAAGAGGGACAAAA